AAAGATTCAGAGTCCAGAGCTCGCATGCTCATGCAAGAATGTTAAATGTCAGCCGTGAAGTCTCATGTTGCAAATCACTGCCCCAGGTTAGCATTAGTTACAACTGATAGATATTGAGGGGAGCATTTTCATACGAGACTGACCTTCATTCTGTTGTTGAAGAGTTTTCCCAGCTGCTGGAAACAGCCATTTTCTCGTTGTTTACCATCCAGCCAAGACTTAGACTCAGCAAGCTTTGTTGGGTCAATGTAGATGAAAGACTGTGCTTTGGCAAAAGATCTCAGCACAAAAGCAGTCAGCCTGAGGATATTAAAACAAGGTCAAACAATAACTGATACAATGAAGTGAAGAGGAAGCACTTGATCTGTGTAATGTCAGTGTAGTAGCCACTTAAGCATATGTATTTTTAATGAATGAGGTAAGGCAAAGACCTGAAGCATTGTGTTCACAACACATCGGTGGTATGTCAAGTCATCCTATTATCCAAAAAAGTTTTGCAGGATTGTGCTCAGAGTGAAGCTACAAACACCAAATTTTGCAAATACAAAACATTCCTAATGAATACAACCGTTTAACGCATCATGCTTTAGAAACATTAGCATGTCTTCCAAAACCCTACAATACGTTTTGTTCATCTAGCCATTATTTTGTCTGATTTACGCTGGTCTTGCATACCTAGACAGAACACCATCCTCTTGTGCAAGATGCTGCTTTCATCTGCTCTGTTTAACCTGCCCAGTATTATGTACCTGCAGTACTGAGGCTGCAGTTTCAGGACCCCCCCAATCCTGGGACTGCAGTTCTAGGACTGTAGTTCTTTTGTGACAGTACCATCTAGTGGATGGGTGGTAATGCACAGCAACACAAGGTTAACCCCGTCTGCCAGCATGTGTGCAACTGTAGGGTTATCCGGTCATCATGCATCATTAACTTCGGTTTAGGCAAACGCCCTGTGATTGTTAGGGTAAGGCTTCGGGGGGTGTCAACATTGCTAGCCAGCCTCACAGTAAACAAGGGTCCTAGAAATGCAGTTCTGGTCCTAGGATTGTGGTCCTGAAACTGCAGCTACTTACTACTCAGCCTGTTTGTGCTTTTAAATGGATTCATACCACCTGCTGTGGTGGAGGGCAAATTTCTCAGGACATTTGCAAGAAATTACATACAATCACAGCAGAAAGTCAGTTTCTATAGTATTGTCCTTGTAAGACATGCTGTCTTCAAGATGTGTTGTGCATTTGTTTGATGCCATGTTTTGTAGTTGCAAGACAAAATTCAGTTTGTTCATGGTGTTTTGTATTTGCAATTTACACCATTAGTGAATCAGGTCATTTTAGTGCAACTTTAGAGGTTGCACACTTTGAACGTATTTATTCTTTGTGGATGATCAGGTGTTCTTACCAAGTGTTCCCTGTTCCTGTTCCAAATGTGCTGTAAGCACCCTCGCCATTTTTGTAGTTCAGTTGTCTCTGGTAGCCTGTAAAATAGAAACCTGTTTATTAGGACATTAACACTCATAGGATTTTAAGTGTTGGGAAACGATTGCCATTAATCGCAGTTAAGCGTAAAATTATGAGTTTTAAAGTAGTGAATTCACTCTCAGTTTAAATATATCGCTACACACACACACGCCACAATGTTTTTAAACAAGGTGCCCTTTACCAGCAGTACTGCCTTTACACAATAGCAATGAAAGGCTACAGGTTGCTTTGTTCATCTACTTCTCCCACATGCTACATCCAGTGTAGTCTGCTGCAGCCTCCCTCTGCTGCTTGTTGGGTGGCTGATCAACATCCCACCTGTTCTGTGACCCATGGTTTGACTGTATTCAGAGCTAGTGAGCAATGGACTTAATAGTAAACGGTTACTATTGGCGTTAATTAGGCCTACTTAATGCGTTCACATTAACAACAATTACTTAACTTGCCAGCCGATTGTTTAATGATTCACTTTCCAAATCTTTGCAACACATGTGCAAAAGCAACTGATGTACAACCTGGTCATAGCAGTGAGTAATGAATACATAAGTGGGATAAGCAGCAAGAAAAAAAAAAAAATTCAGTTGCAACTTCACTACAGTCTGACATACAGGTGTAAAGGGGAACGCATTGCACTAACCCAGGGAATGAATATAGGCAAGTGCCTTCTTTGGATCAAATTCACGGTGACCCTCCAGTGTCTGAATGATGACCACAGCAGGATATAACAAGGAGAACCTCACATGATGATCGTGGAGTAAGCTCTTGCATTCGTTGAAGCGGACTTTTGTCAGTGACACCATGATATTGTGCCCATTCCAGGAAACCTTGTGTGCTGCTTCCACGATGGGTTCTGTCCTGGAATCTCAGAAGTCTAGCAATGAGAGCCCTTGGCCTCCGTGTGACTGACGTCTTGTGCCAGTCTGTGTGCTCTGTTGAGCTCTAGCCTCCCAAAAAATAAAACTAAACCCACTCACCGATCTATGTTTTTGGAATATCAGGGGAAAGCCTGAGCATCACCCCCCTCACACTCCTCTGGAAAGCCAACAAAATGTAGGCGTTTCTCCCGTTTAATAGCCAGTTTACATCTAAGCAGCACAACCTCCTCCAGTTTCAGGTGGCTTCTCCTGTAACTCCTGGTTAGCTTCCTCAAGGAAGGTCAGCCGGCCTCAATGTGATTAGAAGCTCGAGATCGCCCTCTGCTCATTTTCCACTGCAAATGGGGACCTCTTAATCTCTGAGTTTCCAGTCTTGTACTTCGGAGGCATCTTTGATCAGCCTAGACATGTCAGTAGCTGTGGGGGCGGTGCTGGCGGCTAGCTCCTGCTGGGTGAATATGTCTGCATTGGCACCATTACCTTGTCATTTGTTAGCCTTTGTGCTAGCCTTGGTAAAATGCAAGAGCAACTTCTGGTTACCACATTTGTGCTACTTTGGGGTATCCTGGCCTCTTCTGTCCCGGAGTACAGAGTGGTCCAACAAAATGCAACTTTTGCAATGTCTTAAGTTACATTGTCAGTGCAGGCAGAGCTAGTCCTCTGCCATCATCATGTGTCTCCAACCCAGCCCTAGATTTAAGGTTAATTTGCTGATGTCCCCAAGTTTGAATGAAACATTTTGGGGAAATTCTGTGCCTTCATTGGACAGCTGACAGGATATAAAAGGGTAGAGAACGAGGAAATGCACAACCAAGTTCAGCTAGATGCTATGTTGGGGATGCTAAAGAGCAAATTCATTGAATGGAAGTCATGAAAGTTAAGTTCACAAGCCAATAGCCACAAAGTTCCTCCACCAAGTCAAACTTGGACAATTTGAATTTAACACGAGGCAGTTAATTTGGATCTGAACTTTGAGCAGACCCTGACCTCTAGTGGCAAAGATGAGCACCATCAAGCAGTGACTCAGATCTGCTTATATTGTGACTAAGCAGCACTGACTATTAGGTGGGAGATTTGTCATGTTTAAAGATCAAATGTTTATGAAGTTAGCAGAGACTCACCACTGGTCAGGAAGTTGGTAGCCTTCTCCTTGATGGCTGCGGTCAGCTGCTTTGTGTTTTCCAGGTACTGGAGGATGTAAATGTTGGGGGCCAGGAGCGCCATGTTCTGCTCTCCACATCCATACGGCATCTGCAGCAGCCCATCCAGGTTCTTCAGGGCTCGGCCCAGAATGTCACCTGCACAAGAACACTGACTCACTAAGACCCTGCAATCAGTTAGACACTCACATGCTGCAAATCCACAAGACAATGGAAGGGTTCCTAGAGGGTACTAAAAATGGCTTGGGCACACATGCTTCTTGCTGTGGTTTGTAACTCATGAGATTAGGTCAGTGTATTGTCCTGTGGGTTAACTTCTCTGCTCATGCACTGAAAGTGACCATTGCACAAACCATACACTACCTTGCAGAGCAGAAACAGTCAATACTGTTGCGAACACTAACACTTAGAAATGAACTTGTCATCCTATACCAGTGTTCATCAATGGTCTCCTTCAGTAGGTCATGCAGTAATTCTCAGATAAGCTGCTTTATGATTGAGGCCACAAGATGCCTCTGTATGAGGAGAGCATATCAAATAGAGCGTTGTCATCTGCTCTCGTAGTGCAGCACAAGATAAAGCGCAGATCAGCCAGCTAAATTTACTGCTGTGGGGGGGAACACACCTCTTAAGTTGGATTGTAATTTAATGTAGTTCTACAAGACTGTTATGGCTTTTCAACAGGACAGAAATGTGCCGTTACCTTCCTGAGAAAAACACTGACTGGCAATAAAACTAACAATGTTAGTCCAGATGAGCCATCCCTCCCAAGATGTAACAAAAAGTATTACAGTAAAATGAGACATGTAACACTTCATTTCTTGGTGTGGCTGTTTAATATTCACATATGGTTTTACTGAATCAAGTAAACAATTTCTTAATGTAAATAACCTGATTTGACTGGCAACTCTGCCATCTTGTCCTCCCAGGCACTGTAGCTACAAGTTTCTTGGATGGGGGGGTGGGGTTAATATTTAGTAAAAAAAAAAACAAAAAAAACCCATTGCATTAAAGAGGTGGTATTAAGCTCATTTTCAGGTTCAAAATCTTAATTAGGGGTTGTACCAGAACAGGTTTACATGCTTTAATTTTCAATAAAACATTTCCTCATACTGCACATTGCTGCAGCGCCTCTTTTCACCCTGTGTGTTGTACACTCTGCTCTTGAGCTACAGAGTGATACATCTTGTACAAGATCTTTGCTGGGAGTTGCGCATGCGCAGTTCCCAGGTAAGGACTACTAGCCAATCAGAAGCAGAGAAGGTTGGGTCGTAAGAAACAAGGTAGTGTGATCCAAATCAAAGCCGCTTCAGACTGAGACTGTAACCTAGCAGATGGTATAAGTTACTCTCAAGTCCACAACCACACGTCATTGTTCCACATCTTACCATAAACTACAAAATAACCATTTTTCAACTCATTTACATAAAAATTGGCCAAACAATTTGAACGTTTGCTCAGTAGCTTTCACATCAGGTGTAATGTTAGCATTATAGTTATAACTTTAGCCATGTTAGCCAACATTTAACAACTCTGCACTTGAACAGTCTGAAGTTAGATTGCCGTTTTTTAAATAAAATTCAGCCAATAAAGCATACTTACAGGTTGTGATTGTGAATTTCCAGGCCCAAACAGAGTCGGAGTTACATCGTCTTTTTAGGACTAAATGTTGAACTGTTGCCAGTGTTCTGATGATCTATGCTGCCTTGCCGAAAAATGCTACCATAGCGCAAATCCATAGACTCTACTCCGTTTTCCACTGCAGACAGTACACAGAGATAGGACGTAGCTTGTCGCCATAGCGACGCCACACACAGCAATGTAATGTTCAATGCGACACACGTGATCCACACAGCTTTATCTTTTTAAAGTTAACATTCCTCAGAATGTAAAGACAGATAAGCGGTATGAAAACCTTCCAGCTGTGTTTTCCTCTGCCGTTGTTGCTGCAGCGGTCTGTGTGACGGTGGGAGCAGAGGGCTCTGTGAGCGGGCGGCTGGCCGGCCTCACACGCTCCTCCTGCGGGTTGGCGCAGGCTTCCCCGCAGCCACTTGCTGAGCTCCTCAACTCCGAAAATATTTAAGCAAATTCTTCTGCCATCACTTCTCAAAACAAATTTGAAATCTACACAGCTGTTCTCACCTCAAAACGTCTCAAGTTGATTTAGTGATGAAATTCCATACGAAAACTATAATATAAAACTGTTGCTGGCCTCTGTCTGGTGCAAGCAATGATGCAGTGAAGATTCTGACCATCAGCAGTCTGTCGTATTTTCACGTTACATTTTAGTATCCCCAGCTCACTTGGAAACTCGACAGAGGTGATAAACATTTCTACAATGGAAAACCAAACAAAGGCAAGTCGAGCTGGTACTGTGCAGTGGAAAAGGGGCTTACCTAAAATCAAAGGGTCTCTGCTCAGACTAGCTTGGTTTGAGGGTGTGCCTGATGTGGCGGCGGTGATCCAGAGTATTATTTATACATCTTCAAACATGTCTGGAGAGGGATCTTTAGATTTGCTTCATGTTTACATGAACAGTTTAACAATGGATAAAGCAAAACATGATCTTTAAAAGGATCCATTCAAGTCCGTTTTGTTATTGATGCCTTTGAGGCTTCAGGGGAGGGAAGCCTGTTAACTTACCAAAATGTGTTAGTATAAAGCAAAAGTTAAAATGAACCTTACCCAGGACTGATAGTGAAGCACGGGCAGATCCATCAATCATGTTCTTAGGGAGTGTTATTTGTATTTGCTCGGTCACAGCTTTCCCTGTGTATAGACAGAATACACACTTGAGAGAAACTCCGTACTAGAACTAAGATGTAATTTTAGTTGAATGGATGTCAGTGGATTAAAACAAAATCAGGAAAAAGATGAATTGGGGTTCTTTGGGTATGAGCAGCTCTTCATTTGGTAAATATAAAAGTAGTGACATTAAAATAATCTGAGACACCTGCGCTAAACATGCCACTATGAATTTAATTTCTACCTGCGAGTACTGAATGTGCATTGTATTTTGACATGTTTAGTTTCTTAACAGCATTTGGCTCTCCTTTATGTAAATGTGCCATGCCTGGTGTAAACCATACTGACCTTTTGGGCAGAGCAGAAAGTTGTAGGTCTTGGTGATCTCAGTTCCCTCAGCCTGAGAGGAAGAAATAATGTGACTTCCAAAGTTTCCAGCTTGTATTAAATGCAAAAAATAATGGTTAATGGATAAACTTGTCTTTGTCATCTTGTTTTTAAGGTACCAACCTTTACTATGAGAGATCGTGTGACCACGTCGATACGTCCTCTCTCTGGAACACTCACAATCTTATTGTCACATAAAGCGCGGGATGCCACAGCCTTTGCAGTAACGGACACATTCACAACCCCTAAAAAACAACAAGCAGAGTGAAACTTGAGTAACAATTTCTTCAGATCCTGTGTCAAAGTGTCACTGAGGTGTATTTCACTGATTTCATAGAGATGAAAAGGAAAGACAGCAACCCTTTAACATTTGACACCAGTGTGGATAAAAGCTTGATCCTCACCCAAGGCTGAGGGGGCCATGGTCCAGCTGAGGGTCTTGCGCTCACTGCCACACAAACAGGATGTGTACTGGTCACCAGAGAGCGGAGTGAGGGTGTAGTCTAAAGAGGGTGCTGGAGTCACAGTGACCTGTTCAACAGAAACAACATTTTATAACTGGATTTATGGCAAATACAATATAACATGCTGAAGAGGAATGTCAATTACAAGTTTCAATACTTGTATGTAAAGTGCCTTTGAAACATTAACTCCACCTTGAAGGGATTTGATAATCATAATCTGTTTAATGGGGAAAAAAGCAGACTTGTCTTTTACTTCAACTCATAACCCAACAAATTAAGTTCTGTTGTACATCCATGTTTGGATTCATCGAAGTCTGAAATAAAGGGAGATCAGCAAATATGACAAATTGAGAATCTGTATTTATCACTTTAGCCCTCTGAAAGTAGTGATAGTTGCGTTGAGGAATAAGGGACCAAGGATAGTCTGGCCTGGTTCCTCTATAGAGAGGGAGGTGTTTAGACTCAATGTACATGTACAAAAAGCCAGATGTTCAAGGATTACAACCCTATAGCTATCACTAGTGTCTAGTCTATTTTGATTTAAAAAAAAAAAAAAATGTTCCAGATAATCCAAGTGTCCCTGAAAAGAAACAATTGCATTTTAGGACTATGCAATTTAAACACAAGACGACAATGGCAGTAATGCATGTGTGCAGTTTGATTAAAATGTTGAAGGGCTTCCCACGGACCAGAAAAGTATGGGTTAGTCACAAATCAGTAGTGTGGGATTATAAGACCATAACCTGCATACATAGGATCAGTTATACAATTTGGTATGAAAATTTCCACCAGAGGATGAATTGCAATACATTTGCTGATCCTTCAACTTTTAATCTAGCACCATCAGATCAAGTCTGCCCAATTCTTTGTATATACCTACAAAACTAATGATATTCCAGTCTCAGCTGTACTTTGTGTTTGCCAGTTAGCAACTGTTAGCATACTAACAAACTCAAATAAAATGGTGGATATGGTAAATATACCTGCTAAACATCAGCATGTTAGCATGCATATCTTCTAGGTCATGTAAAAGCATTGGTTACCATGATACAGCTGGACAGGTAGTTGAAGGTGGTTGCCTTCAGTTCAAAGTGCTCCCCCCGGATGATGGAGTAAGGCAGGCTGAGCTCCAGGAAGAAGGGCTGGAAGACGGTGATCTCTTTACGAGGAGCCAAGCCAAACCCCTGAGGGGACAAACAGAAAGCCTCCGTCTCCCAGGTGGTGATGGTGTCTGGGACAGTGTGGGACACATCCTTTGTTCCAGACACTCTGAACCAGCAGATACACACAGACACGTTCAGTGAGCTGGAAACATGCTGACATAACTCAGATTAGACAAAGAAAAACAATGTGAGAAGATGATTAATGTGTAGGATTAACTGCACTAACCAAATTAGTGATCCAAAATATCCTGCCTACCAATAAGTAATTGGGCTCCCAATGCCACAACATCTGCAGTAAAATCAAAGTGTTCCAGAGCAAAACTGCAAGAAAGTCTGAAATTTTTATCATCAAGTTCTCCTCTTTAGCAAATATTTCCTTTCGCTCATGTTGACTGGATGAAATGTGTCTGCATTTAACACTGTTGGGGGAATTAGGTAAATTGTTTGATCTCTGTAAATAGTGTTGTAGTACTTGAGACCAAGACCAGTTTTCAGACCACTTTGGTCTTTGTCTCGTCCTCAACTGCATTTGTACTTAAACCAATTGATATTCCCAAAGTTATGATCTTGATAACATCCTAACTTTGGGTGTAAAAATGCATTGCTTCAAATGCAACTGAAAAACCCTAATTAAAGATGTATTGTTCCTGTTAAGGACAGTCACTCCTAACTGCGATGTAAGCATGGAAAAGGAATGTCAAATAATGTTTGTTGATTTCAGCTCTTAGTGTTGGTATGTGGGTGTTCTAATGAGAATGATCTTTCAGATCAATTTGAGAAGTGCCTATTGTTAATATTTCTTAGGTGTCTTATGGGATCAGTTAAATTGCACTAAGATAGACCTGTCTTACCTTGCCACATCAATTAAGTGTTTGACATAGCTTTTAGGCATTTCTCACATGTACTTGTCAAGACAGACTGATTAGTTAGACAGTAGCTCAGGCATCAGCCTGTTCCATCTGAAAAATGGATTGACATGACTTGTTATGAATTGGTGCAATGTAAATAAAACTGAAAATAGGCTACATTTGAAACAAACCTGAGTTTTGACATTTACCAAACCAGGCAAGACTACTGAATTCCAGAGTGAAAAATGCTATGCTTATTGTGAAAAGTTGTCATGACTTTTAGTGAAATAGACTATTGATGGACCTCCGCAATAACCAATCCTTAATTTCACTGCTCATGTCTAAGCACCAGTGTTTGCCAATAGCAATTACATGATAAAATAAAAATGTAATGTGCTGAACTTACAGGGTGGACCATCCAGCTAGCTAACATTAAATAGCTCATTTTAAGTTCAAGAAAGCCAATTACTAGACTCTGAAGGTAGGAAAATTGGGTGTATTAAAGAAGCTAGATATTCAACTACTGACATTAACCTGCAGTATCTATTTGCATGTGATGCACTGGACTGGAGCAGCTGTGCTGTGGCAGACATTCAACTAACGTCAACGTTAGGAAATAGCATGGTCCATTTTAGGGTGTCAGAAACTATTTAAAGAATTATAAAAGGCATCAAATGGCAAATACTGTAATGTTTACAATTAGTCAAGATAGATGCCCTGAACCATTTGCTACTTTTGGGGGGTCCAAGCCTCAAGACACCCCCAGTAATGTGAACCATGCTTGAGCATGATGCGCACTAGCCCAAAAGGCTTTCCCCTGATAATTGTCCCAAGTGTCAAAACATCCTTAAGACAAAAAGAGACCAAATTTGTTTTAACATACCAAAAATTGGTTTCAATGAACAGTAGCAGATTTTAGGACGTTCACATGTGCAGCAAGACAAAGTGAGAGAATCACTTTACTGCACAGTCTATGGGCCCAAATCTACTCAAATGTTGCCAATTTACATCCATCAAAACTCTTGTGACAGCTCACCAACTACCACCAGGTCCCAAATCCAGGTCTCAGGGAAGAAAGTGCGAACTGTCTCTATTGGTGGTGGAGGAGGAGATTCACCAACTGCGCCAGGTGCGAATGCTACTTCATTCATTGCGGCTACCAGAGGAACACCTTTATATCTGATACCTATACCGAAAGAACCAGAAAACATTCCATTAGAAGGGGAACACAGCAACGACTGAGTCGTTTAAGTGCTGGTAAATCTGAGGTGCTTGATAGAGCAAAAGTTACCATAAGGTTGATTGAAATATTCTCTTGCTTTGTACTTGAGGCATGAAGGCACTTTAATAGCCAGGTTTGTTGCCATCTTCAGCCCTACATTCTAGATAAACATACAGGCATTTGAGAGGTTAACATTCATAAGTGTTTAAATTTAGCCTTTATATATTGTATATTTTTGCACAAGTACCTGGAAAACAGAATTCGCATCATCCTCGACCCCAGTGGGGTATGGCACAGATCTCTTTGGTCTCACAGACAAGCATTCATCAGGATCTTGAACCTCATATGGGATATAGGATGCTTGTTTGACAGGCAACAAGTCAAATATCTGTGAAGAAAGGCATCATTCAAAGCTGCCATGTTTTATGAAGATGTGACAAGGCTTACTCTTTCATCTTGAAATGTGGCTTTAAAGGGTCTGTCAAAACAGTACATTTATACATATGTTAAACTTGAGGGACACAGCACATTAGGTTGGAACTTATTTGTACAGCAGTTTTATAACTGGTCAAAACAGCTGTATTATACAGTTAACTGGAAGAAAATTGAATCATCTCTTGGTGACTGATGTTGACTGTCAGGTTATGCAGTGGGCACTTAAATGGTATCAATAAGAATCCATTAGTTCAGTTGATTCTAGCAGTTACCTTGTCTGCATTCAGAATGTTTCCTGGCTCCTTGATGAGGACGCTCTGGTCGACAGCACTCACACACACAGAGAGTCTGGCTGGGCCGTCACCCGCAGTATGGTTCCTTCTCCTGGGACAGCTGAGGACGGAGAAAACTCCAGCGACACCTGACATACAAAACACATCACGCCATCTGGACTTCAGTATAACAGAACCTATGATCTCAGTGTTTACACTATATCCACTGTTTTACAGCTGCTTCTCGCCGTTTATGTTACCGTAAGTGACTTTTTTTTGGACAAATCTACATTTTTTTCCTTTGAATTTGTTATTGTGCAAATGAACCTTTCTCAAGCATTTTGTTATTTAACATTTCTTGCCTAAAGAACAGACATGGGAGCAGAAGAAAATGAATGTTTTGGTCTGCTGTTTTGACACGAGGTCATGGTTATGTTTTCTGTCGTCTCTTCTTGTAGACGTGCGTGGTTCGAACCGGTTTCTGGTGCAGAGCGGCATCCACGACCGTTTCGGGAGAAGCTGAGCCAAGCGATGGACGCCGAGCTCCATCTGGGACATGGCTCAGAGCCCAACACCACCCAGGGGCCGCTCATCAACAGCAGAGCTGCAGAGAAGGTAAACAACAGTACAGATTGGAAAATGAAGGGTATTTATTATCATTCATATAATGAGGTCACTTATTTTTGTTATTGTTTTGTTTCTATAACGTATGATGGTGTTATTATGTACTGTATTGGTCTGAATATAGAGAACCCTGATTATAAGATGACCCCCCTTTTTCAAGACTCATTTTTGGAAACCAAAAGAAGACCAAAACTAGTTTTTATAAAGAAATAATTTTATTTGAAAATATTTCTAATAAATTCAATTTTATTTGTATAGCGCCAAATCACAAGTTACCTCATAGCGTTTTTCATAAAAGAGCAGGTTTAGACCGTACTCTGTGATGATAAAACACATTGAATAAAACAACAAGATGGTTGTTTAAACATCTGTTAAATAAAATAACATTTTCAATATGTTTTTAAATGAAATGGTCACATTTAAATGACCGCTAAATAATATGTACAGTGTAATTTTTTGTGCCCATTTATTTAAAAAGAAATCAAAACGTTATTTTACTCAAAAGATGTTAAAAACAACAGCCTACCATGGCATCATAATGCTCCTCAGCTGTGGCTGTATTATCATTTAAAGAGCTAGTTCCTGAAAATAAGAGGTATTTTTAAGACGCATTTCCAGGGGAAAAACTGTTATACTCGGACCAATACAGTATTTCTGAATTTATTTTCTTGCTTTAAAAGGATTTTATTTACCTGATGTTTGTATATTGTTGTCTGTCTGCTGTGAACAAATCACCTACCCCTATTTAAAAAAAAAACCCAACTAATTATAGATAGA